GCTGCTGCTGGCGTCCCAGTGCATGGGCTCGGCCGCCGGGCTCTTCCCCTTCGGGGAGCCCGACTTCTCCTACAAGCGCTCCAACTGCAAGCCCATCCCCGCCCCGATGCTGCTGTGCCGGGGCATCGAGTACCAGAGCATGCGGCTGCCCAACCTGCTGGGGCATGAGACGGTGCAGGAGGTGCTGGAGCAGGCCTCCACCTGGATCCCGCTGGTGCAGAAGCAGTGCCACCCCGACACCAGGAAGTTCCTCTGCTCCCTCTTCGCCCCCGTCTGCATCGACGACCTGGACGAGATCATCCAGCCCTGCCACTCGCTCTGCGAGGAGGTGAAGGAGAGCTGCGCCCCGGTGATGTCCGCCTTCGGCTTCCCCTGGCCCGACATGCTAGACTGCAGCCGCTTCCCCAAGGACAACGACCTCTGCATCCCGCTGGCCAGCAGCGACCACATCCTCCCGGTCACCAGGGAAGGTAAGAGGGGGCCCCCGGGCCGGCAGCCACTGCCCCCCATGACCACCGCCCTCTGCACCCCGCTGGCCAGCAGCGACCACATCCTCCCGGTCACCAGGGAAGGTAAGAGGGGGCCCCCGGGCCGGCAGCATCTGCCCCCCTCCGCCTCCCCCGGCCCCGACATGCTAGACTGCAGCCGCTTCCCCAAGGACAACGACCTCTGCATCCCGCTGGCCAGCAGCGACCACATCCTCCCGGTCACCAGGGAAGGTAAGAGGGGGCCCCCGGGCCGGCAGCCACTGCCCCGAAAAAAAAAAAAAAAACAAAACAAACAACCTTTGGTTTAGGTGTGACCTTAAAAGCACACCGTGCCCCCCTCCAGCGGGTCTGCAGCAAGGTAAGGCGCGTCCAAGTGTTGGGGGGCAGCAGGCGCAGGGTCAGTCCCTCCATCGAGGGATGGAAAACCGGCGTTTCCCGAAGGGTTCCCAACGCCACCTGCTGTTCCTTTATCCCCGAGCCTGACGGGGACTGTCCCTTGCATTTCCAGCACCCAAGGTCTGCGATGCCTGCAAAAACAAAAACGAAGATGATAATGACATCGTGGAAAACCTCTGCAAAAATGACTTTGGTAAGTGGAAGCAGAGCCCTCTCGGGTGAAACGGGAGAGCTGAGGCTCAGGTAGATCTGCCAGTGGAACGAGAGAGAGATGTGCCTGAATAAAGGCAGGGCTTTGTCTTATCTGCAGATGGACCCATCTGACCGTTTGGTCATGAAACACTAAATTCCACCTCGGAATAAAAAGTGGCCCTTTTTATAGTCCTTTTCTGCTTGCTGTTTCGAAGTAGTGCTCTTTGACGTGGATGTTGCTGGCAAGCCAAACAGAAAGTAAAATGCAAAAAAAACCCCAAACTTTCATCCAGACTATTGCCTGGGGAGAAGTAGAGCAAAGCTTCATTTAGACGTATGAGAAAGAGCCGCATGACCAATCCCACGTATCATAAGAAAGACTCTCTCCGCAGATTAAGAATGAAGCTCTATATATCATTTGACAGAGAAGGTGATGCACAGACAATTGGGGATATAAACTTAATGGGAAGATCTGGGGTTAGAAGAGGACAAGAAAGCCCCTTCGACACAGACAACTGAACGGCACATTATCCACACATTAGCATTTCAAGAGAAAAAGGGAATAAGGAGGGGAATCCTTTTATAATAGGTCAATGTTTATACCTGGAAACAGATTTGTAGTATAAATATCTACAACAATTCAAAAGTCTTTCTTTAAAAAAAGAAAACACCACCCAAACCATGAAACTAGGACTGTGGGACATAATTGCTAAAACAACCAATAGCTTTGGCCTGGCAAATTGCACTCAGATAAATCCTCCTCAAGCTAAACATGCCCCACAGAATCTCACAGAGCACTGTATGCCCCTCCTAGTTGTTTTACCAAATCGAATGCAGCTGTTGGACCAATTTGCCCTCCACAGGATCTATTCTTTCAAAAAAACAATGTATGTGAAATATCATTTCCTTACAGGTTTGCCTAAAATCCTCTCCAGCCTAATAAATTAAGTTTAGAAGTTTTCAGCCACAGCAGAGATCAGGTTTCAGATTAGGACTAGGTACTCACCTCCCCTTCAAACTCTAGTTTCAGGAAGACCGTCCTCTCTCAGCAAAAACCAGAGTGCTGCTTAACGTGGCAAACCTGCCCTCTCTCTGTTTGCAAACAGGAGAAAAGCCGGAGAAAATATTAATTTAGAAAGGAAGGAAAAAGAGGGGGAGGGGGGGAGAGGAGAAAAGAAATCTAAAACCTCAACCCTAAGGTTGATTCAAACTGAAATGACTTGCATGCCCTTTGTGGCTTTAGAAATGGAACCACCTGCTGCCTCTTCTGTCAGCCCTGACAGTTTAATTAGCAATAGAGCACCTCCCTCCCCAGGTCCTCTTTATGTGCACTAATGGGAAAAAACCTCTCAATCTCTCTCCCTCTCCCCACCTCCCCCTCCCCTCACTCTATTAGCCTTGAAGATAAAAGTGAAGGAGATTGCCTACATCAATGGGGATACCAAGATCACCCCTGAAACAAAGAGCAAAACCATCTACAAGCTGAATGGGCTGACGGAAAGGGATCTGAGGAAGATCGTGCTCTGGCTCAAAGGTGGCCTCCAGTGTACCTGCGATGAGATGAATGACATCAACGTCCCCTACTTGGTGATGGGGCAGAAGCAAGCTGGGGAACTGGTGATCACCTCGCTGAAGCGGTGGCAGAAAGGGCAGCGGGCTTTCAAGCGGTTCTCCCGCAGCATCCGCAAACTGCAGTGTTAATGGCACTTTTCTACATCTCACAGAGATTTTTCTTAGATTTCTAACTGTCTCATACCAAATCTATTAGTAATTTTCAGACTACCAAAACTGGGATACAACTGATTTAACACGGAAATGGTATTTCTCTATTGCCATGGTGCCAATTTTTCTGAGATTTATTCAGTATATATCTTATCTTTACTGAGAAAAGTTTTTTTTTTTTTTTTTTTTTTTTTTTTTTTTTTTTTTTTTTCCGCTGCCCGCCTCCAGCAGCTGCCTCTGTCCCGAGCTCTCCGGGCCTCCTGCACCTTCTTGCTTCGGCCCCTCTGAGCCTCGAGATGCCACGGGCATGAGACACGGTGACCGCTCTCCGAGAGGGGAGAGAGCCCTCCATTTCTGTACATAGGTGAAAATGTAATAAAAAAAAAAAAAAATCATGACTATTTTTGGGAAGTATTAAAGTAACTCGCTTAAAGCTTTTTTTTTTTTTTTTTTTTTAATGGTTGCAAATGTGACTTTGGTCTGAGGTGTCTTCCTCTTCATTTTGGTAATGCTGGTTCATTTATATTGCTGCTTCTCTGTATACATGCATGTTTGTTGTGCAAAAGTAGGAGATGCAGAGAAAGACAGCCACGCGTGCGACTGGCCTGTCACAGTGGGTACGACTCTTTCACCGAGGTGAAATGGCTTGCCACCTATATTAACGCTATAAAGGTCATGTTACGACTCTTGCATGTGATACATAGGCACCAGTAAGAGTATATTAACCATTCTCACATTTTATTTTCCACAAGTCTGAGCCCTTCTCTCAGAAAAAATGAACAAGTTTTGGAGCTGGTTGATCTGAATGCAACTTTTTTTTATCATTTTGCAAATTAAACCACCTGTAGCCTAACTGTAATATACCTAGTGGTTAACCTGAAAGAGTTGTAAAATATTGCTTTAATTAACCTTGTAAATACTCCAGATAAATGTTATATTCTTGTATATAAACTTTACATCATAGTTTACCCATTGTCTTGGTCATCATTCACTTTAATCTGTTTTGGGAGAACTAGGGGAAAGCTGTCCAACTGGGCTTTGTCATGGCAAAGCAAAATTTGGCTTTCCACCCCAACTGGCCAGCAGAGAAGCACGAGGAAGCATCTAGTGCTGCAATCAGAAAAAACATAGTGGACCTCATTTCCCCAAAGATGAACCCATGAGACACGGGACTGAGGTTCAGTCAACTCATTTTAATATGTGTCTGTTGAGCTCTTCAAGATGAAGAGTTTTCTGTGGCTCCTTTGTTCGACTGCCTGCATTTTCATTTCATCTTCTCTGAAGACTGCTGATGTGGAATTGCAATGAGACCACTTGCTTAAAAATCAAATCCATTTATCCATTTCTTACACTTGAAAAAGACTTATTAAGGAGTGTAAGAGTAGACAGAAAGATCTCATTTGCAACTAGCAATTCAGAATAATGGTAGAGCAAGGCATGTTTTGTGTGTATGTACACTCACTATTCTTACTGAGAAAGAAAATAAAGCCTACCTGATAGTGTAACTAGAGGAATGTTTTTCAGCATTTTTCTTACAAATGTTTTCTGATGAAGAGCATTACCTGCTAGAATTTTATTGTACTTATCCTGAAAAATAGTCTTGCTTCCCAGTGCTGTCACACATTAAAAAATTCCTCTTAGCTTCACTGAGAGGATGAGCAGTCCAATATTCTGAAGGACAACATTTTATGTTAACCGTTCACAGACAGAATACAAATCCAACACTAGATTTTTCTTTAAAGTAAAAAATCATATTAATTTCATATATTTAGTTCTATTTTTTTTCATCATCAGGATCAAAAGATAAAATCCAAAGATCCAACATGTTAAATTTGTTTTAGAAAAATTAATTGTTTGCCCTCTCCCACAGTCTTAATGGGCTCACTACACCTGGTACAAACAATAGTAGGACTCTGACCAAGCAAGACAAGAGCAGTCCTCACAAATGCCCTCAAAAGTATAACAATTTAAAAAATAGGCAACAGAGCACCAAACAAAAAGCCCCATTCCAAATTGGCTCTTCATTATTTTGCGAAACAGTATCTGTATTTAAAGGCCAATACATTCCTGAAATGTCATTAAAACTTTTCTTCCAAATGCACCTGGCTTCCCAGGAAACAGATCTGAGTCTTTTCATGCTATGGCGTAATTATTTTAATACCCACACTATGTCCGTCATCTTACAGATCAGCATCCAGATCAGCATCAGCATCCAGATGTCACATCACTCTACCCATCTCGCTCAGCATATAATGTAATACCCGTCCCTGAACAGCCTTGGTTTTAGAGGGAACAAACTCACAGAGAAAGAGGAGCTGGCTGAAGATGAGCCTGCAGGAAAGGGGCTTGTGCTGCCCGGTGGAGGAAAGCGCTTCGAAGAGGCAGTCATTGCAATGCAGTCTCTGGGGACCGAAAACGAACAGCCAGGACTGCTCCATTCCGCCTGCCTACAGATACTAAGTCCTCTGACAGCACCCATAAAATTATCTTAATTGGGCTGTCCTAGAAGGCAAGCAGTACTGATGCTGATGAGGACAGACAGGTCACAAATTACTCACTCCAGGGTCACGTTAAGGCCAAGACTACATAACAGATTTTTGCCAAACCACTCAGATGTATGAAGACACATTACCTATGACCAACATCGCTCTGTCTTAAAAAAACCCCAAACATTCCCCTTCCTCCATCACAAACACCATTACACCAGCAAAATCCTGTTCCTGTCAGGACAAATTCAGGAGAAAAAGAATAAGCTAGACTGGCAAACATTCAATTTTACTAGTACAATCAGCGTCCTGGACTAAGCGCATCCTGCCATACGGCACACCCCTACTGATAACGCCTTCTGCATGTGGCCCTGGGCTGAATCACTGGGACTATCCACCCTCAGGGTGAACTGGCAGGGGCAGGATTACCTTTCAGATAAGCAGGATTTAGGCAAACGTGAAGAGTAATGGTACTCACGTTTTCCCAGTTTAGTTCCATAACCTTGTTCTAACAGTATCCTATTAAAAAACGGATCATGTTCACCTCACCAAGGAGAGGGAGTGTCAGCGTTTGTTACACTATCTGTTTCCAAAGATGTATAATCTAGGCATTGCAAACTATTCAACTGAAAATTAGGATTTTAAAGTCACAATCTGAGGAAACTTCGTCTTTGAGATGCTGGCAAAGAAGTAAACACACAAATTTTTCGCAGTTTTACCCTTACTCTTACTTGCTCAGCAACAACTGAAAAATCTTCGACTGTGCAGGCAAATAGTGAACCAAACATGTAACAAAAAATTATCAGAGCCTGTTACTTCTGATCATTGTGTCACATATACTTCAGAGTAACACTATCACCTGGTATGGTATGATTCAGTTCTAGCAGAAATTTTTTTTTGCAATTGATGAAAAAAGGCAACCCACTGTTGCATTTTTCAGACACTTTTTGTCTTCTTCTAATTAAAACAACATTGTTAGGCAGCCAATTATGTAGCTCCCATTGTATTTGCTTTCATAAAAACTATAAAAGCAGTTGACTACAATGGATTAGTTTAAGAACAATAATAATGATACTTGACATTTATACAGAAGTTTCCATTTAAGTTTCTCAGACTGCCTTCACAAAAATAGGCATTAATATCCCTATTTTGCAGATCAGGAAAATGAGGCACAGTGAAGTGAAATAACTCATTCAAAACCACCCAGCAAGTCCTTTACAGTCATGAAAAGCAGCGCATTTTTTGTCTCCAAGTTTTATGCTCTAATCACTAGACCACAGCAATCAGAATGGTGTATAATCAAGGCAGCACTTAGATTATAATTTGAAAGCATAACAGCAACCAAGGCTCCCTCCAACTTCTTCCCCTGAGTGTGTAAAAAAAATGACTGCCCAAATTCAAATTTAAAACCCATCAGCAATATTCCTCACAGTCTTTTCCTTTCTTCCTTATTTATCGTTCTCTCTATCCTTTAATTACTTCTTAATCCTTTCTTTTCTCCCTCACTTCTCATTCACTTCAGACACCCACAGAGAAGCCACTCAGCCCCTCTCTCGCCCCTCTCATACAGCCACTTTCGCCCTTGGTATGGTTTATTAAAGAACTCATGCAGTATAACTACACACAAGCCACAAAAATTCTAATGACCAGCTTAAGACATAAAAGGACCCATGCGGGAAATGCAGCAAGAGGCATTTAAATTTAATTAATGATTTTCTGTGAGGACAGGAGGGTGGTTAGATGCCACAAGGAGCACCACAGACACATGCTGGTCGCTTCAGGCACAGCCACTATTCCTGTTCTGCAGCAGGAGAATATAAGGGTATTTAAAGAATATAGCGAGCATGAAGAACACACAGATAAAGCACACCTTCCCTTGCATGGCCAGGTCTCCCGCACGTCTCAGCCCCGTTGTTATAACCCTGTGTTCCCCCACTGGGGCCACAGCACACCTCTCTCAACCTTCTTCCAGATGTCGAACTACCCCTCTTCAGCCGTCGAGGGCATCAGCCAAGAGCAGAACCACCGTGACTCACGAACGGACCACCAAATTGGCCCCCAGGTGCCTGCTGGGGCATGAGCGACCCCAAGCAGCCGGCAGGGCAACCCCCTTTTTTGCTGTTTCTGCGACCTGCTGCCATCCTCGCCAAACCTACCAGCCTTGTGAGCCCTCCTGATGTGCCCACAGTTGGCGATGCCAGAGGACGGGCGGTGGATTGATTGCTACCAGAGCAGTAGGCAGCCTTCCTTAGGTAAGGCAGCCCAGGCTTTTGTTATTGGAGCCAGAAGTTCTTATTTCTAGGCTTCAGAGACATGCCTGTATGATTTATCTAGAAGTTGCTTTCTTATCAGCAGATGTAGATTCAGTACAGCCTGACTGTCTGATGAAACAACCACAGGAATGGATCTTGTTTGCCTCTGTACGAAGAGGAGAGTACAAGATACTCACATCACAGGAATCCAAGACCCCAAGCTGTCTTACAAACATAAATT